GTTGGTCCGGCGACTGTCCCTGTACAGGTCTCTGGTTCTGGGGGTGCTGGAGTTGGAGCTGAGCCGCGGGTTGCAGAGGACTCTTGTCTTCCGGGGGCTGGTACTGGTCGTGCGGAGTCTGGGGGTGCTGGTGCGGAGTCTGGGGGTGCTGCGTCTGGGGGTGAGGGTGTCCCTTCGGTTTCTGGAGAGCCTGGGTCTGGAGCTGGTGTTGGTGCTGCCTCTGGGGGTGGTGTGCTTGGTGCTTCGGAGGTCGACTCTGGGGCTGCCGCTGCCCCGGACACTACTCCTTCCCCCCACCCCTACCCGACCAGGTTCCAGGCTCGTGTTCGCCGTGCTCGTGAGGAGCAGCTGGAGTTGGAGAGAGAGGAGAGAGAGTTGCAGCGGCTCGAGGAGCAGGAGCGACAGCAGCAGGAGCAGCAGCAGGAGCAGCAGCAGGGGCAGCAGCCGCTGGAGCAGCAGCAGCCGCAGCAGCCGCAGCAGCAGCAGCAGCAGCTGCTGCCGTCTCCTCCTCCTGTCTCGGGTCTTCGGACCCTTGGTCTCCCGTCTCCCTCTCCTTCCTCCTCCCCCTCTCCTCCCGTCTCTGGTCCTCCGCTTCCTCCTCCTGACCCCTCTCCCGCTGTTTTCCCTCGTTCTCAGTCTTCGTTGTCTCCTCCTCCTTCTCAGACTTGGGCCTCTCGTCGCTCCCCTCGTGCTCGTCCCTCGTCTCCTGTTCCCTTCACTGACCTTCGTACAGCCTTCCTTTGTTCTCGTCCACCTCGTCCGTCTCCGTCTGTGCTTCCGTCTCCTCCTGAGTCGGCCCTCACTGTGTCGCTTCCTTCTCCTGTCACTGACTACTACCGCACGTACCGTCCTGTTCTCTCTCGTGTTCTCGCCTCTCTTGTTACCCACCCTCGTGCCTCTGTGTCCTCTGTGTCCGCTCTTACTGCCGCAGTCACTGAGTTTGCCTCTACCCGCCGCCTTGACTTCGCCACCGCTCTTGTGGCTGCTCCTCCTTCCAGTCCTCTGGCCGTCGGGGGTGTGTCTGCCCTTGGCTGTGATGCCCTAGAGGACAGGCAGTTTGAGCTAGAGTTCCTGGCGGCCGCTTCCCCTCATCTCTGTGCCATGCTCCTCGCCCCTGAGGGTGACCCCGACGCCCTTGACATTCCGACTCCTCGCACTTACGCTGAGGCAGTGTCAGGGCCTTGGGCCTCTCAGTGGAGAGCTGCCATGGACGCAGAGATGGCCTCCTACAGATCCACAGGCACCTACGTCGATGAGGTTCCCCCTCCGGGGGCGAACGTAGTCGACGGCATGTGGATCTACAGGGTGAAGCGGCCACCGGGATCTCCTCCGGTCTTCAAAACGCGCTACGTGGCTAGAGGTTTCAGTCAGCGCGAGGGAGTTGACTTCTTTCAGACCTTCGCGCCCACCCCGAAGATGACCACTCTTCGGGTGTTACTACACGTAGCAGCACAGAGAGACTACGAGTTACACTCTCTCGACTTCTCTACTGCTTTCCTTCAGGGCAGTCTTCACGAGGAGGTCTGGTTGCGTCGTCCCTCTGCCTTCACTGGCTCTTTCCCTCCTGGGACCCAGTGGAGGCTGAGGCGACCGGTTTACGGTCTTCGTCAGGCTCCTCGTGAGTGGCACGACACCCTGCGTTCTACCCTGTCTGACCTTGGGTTCCAGCCGTCTTCTGCTGACCCGTCGCTGTTCGTTCGTCGTGGCCCCACACCTTTCTTTGTTCTGGTCTACGTTGACGACCTTGTTTTCGCCACCCCTGACAGGGTTGCTTTGGCACACGTGAAGTCCGAACTGCAGAAGAGACACACCTGCACTGATCTTGGTGAGCTGCGCCACTACCTTGGCCTGCAGATCACCAGGGACAGAGCTGCTCGCACCATTACACTTTCACAGTCGCACATGGTGCAGCAGGTCCTTCAGCGGTTCGGGCTTCAGCACTCCACAGTACAGCGCACACCTCTTGCTGTTGACCACAGACTCACTGGACCCTTTCCTGACGAGCCGTTCGAGCCTAGTGGTCCCTACGCAGAGCTTGTGGGTTGCCTCATGTACCTGATGACTTGTACTCGCCCGGACCTCGCCTTCCCTCTCAGCGTTCTTGCGCGCTTTGTTGTGCCAGGGAGACACCGTCCTGTTCACTGGACAGCAACTGTGAGGGTGGCGAAGTACCTAGCGACGACGTCAGGCGTGGGGCTAGTTCTTGGAGGGCAGCAGTCTGTCGTACTTACTGGTCACTGTGACTCCTCTTACGCTGACGACGCTGAGACTCACAGGTCTACTCAGGGGTACTGTTTCAGCCTGGGTTCTGGAGCTGTTTCCTGGCGGTCCACGCGCTCCTCTTCGGTCTCGACCTCTACAGCTGAGGCTGAGATCTACGCTGGTGCCATGGCGGCACAGGAGCTGCGTTGGTTGACCTTCTTGCTCACCGACCTTGGTGAGCGGCCGAGCTCTGCACCGACCTTGTTCACTGACAACAAGGCGTCTATTCTCCTTTGTCGAGAGCCACGACTGGAGAGCAGAGTGAAGCACATTCACGTCAGGTACTTTCTTCTGCGAGAGTTGCAGAGGCGTGGACAGGCTCGCTTTGAGTTTGTGGAGTCCAAGGCCAACACTGCAGACATCTTCACCAAGGCGCTTCCGCCTTGTGACCACCAGAGGTGCTGTGTGCAGTTAGGCCTTGTTGACACTGGTTCTCGTGTTGCTTAGACTTGAGTGTACTGTTTACTTTGCTTTCTATATACCTCTGTTACTTCTTGGACTGGCCTTGTGGCCACTGTTGTTTGTGCTCGGACTGTGTGGTGACGTTGTGATCCACCCTGAGCTTCGTTTCTTGGACTGGTCTTGTGACCGTACTCGTTTGGTTCTGCTAGACACCCCTCACTTAGGCTATGGGGGTGTGTCAAATGTTGTAGCCTATAGTGAGGTTTGTCTTAGGGGGTACAAAACTTAGGGTTAGCTATATGTACCCCAACCAACATCAATGCATCATCCATTCTTCATTTTGACAAAAATGCCCTGATTTGTCAGGGCAAATTTTCGAAGCCTTCCTGTATGTTTAGGGCTTTTTCAGAAATCAATCCTGACCTGTCAGGGCAAAAAAATAAGTCTTCAGGGTTCAGATTGGTTGGATTGGAGGTCAAAGTTAGAGTTGAAGTGTATATTCGCCTGCACGCGGGTGGGTTCGCCGTGCATCACGGCGTGCCTGGCGCTGCGTCCGTGCTCGCCTATGATCCCGTGCAGCGGCTGCTCGCAGTGGGAACACGGTAAGAGAGCTCCGATATAAGCAATAATATAGAGAATGCAGCAGCCCCTGCCAGCGGTAAAGAGCGGTTACAAGCGATGCAGGACTGGCCGGGCATCACGGCTTGCATCATGGCGCGTCTGGCGCTGTTCCATACCTTGAGTATGGAAAGGGGGTTGAGACTTTCAAGGAGTAAGCTAGGCGAGGAAAGGGTTTGGAGGAGTAGGTTTGAGTTCTCAGTGGTTTTGGTGCTGGTGGTGGGGATGCGGTAGATGTGAGGGTGCAGTAAGGAATGGGAGATTACATGGTGGCATGGTGATGTGATGGCATGGCGGCATGGTGGCATTGTGGCATTGTGGCATGATGGCATGATGAAGTGACATGCGGTAGCCTCTCCCCTTCCCAACCCCCCTCCCTCCACCAGCGATGGGCGCATCAAGGTGTTCGGGCATGATGGCATCGAGGCGCTGCTCTGCTCGCCTGCCAAGGCTGCCTGCAAGTTCCTCGAGGTCAGCACCGTTCTGCACCTTCCCGCACCTTACCCCACCTTCTCTACTGCCTCCATGAAGCCCTGTGTTTTCTCAGAGCTCACTTCAGCAAGCACTTGTAGGCGCATTCCTTACTCCGTCATCACTGCTTGCTCCACCTCCTCCTTCTCCCCAGCCCGCCTCCTCCACCTCTTCTCCCCCTCTTCTCCGCCCCACCCTTAGGGAAGCTATTATGCTTATTCTCCTAATCGCTTTCGCCTTCCCTCGTTCTCTCTTCGCCTCCCCTTCCCCCCCCAACAGTTCGTATGTAACTCGGAGTACATGGTGCAGGTCACCTTTTTCAACGCGATTGAGGTGCGTGGATGGATGTACATGTGGGTGTGTGCTGTGTGCATGCCTGTGTACGGGCGTGAGTCTGAACGTGTATGCATGCCTTTGTGCAAACTCTGAGTGCACTCTTTTTGCCTGAGTCTGGCTGAGCACCAGATGACAAACTCGCTGCAATGGGACGTCGTCATCACCTCAGTCTCCCCCCCCTCCCTGCTCCTTCCCTGCCTCCCTCCTCCTTTTTCCCCTGCTTCCTCCTTCGTCCATACCCACCCACTCAGATCTGGAGTCTGGCTGAGCGTCAGATGACGGACTCACTGCAGTGGGACGTCGTCATCACTGCCTTCTCCAACGTGCCCGACACACGCTTCCTGTAACTCACCTTGACACGACCTTGACACGACCTTGACACCACCTTCACACCACCTTGACACCACCTTCACACCACCTTGACACCACCTTACATCCTTCTTGTCGCCACCATCACACCACCATCCTCCTTGTCATCACTGCTTTCCTGTAAACCACCTTGACACCACCTTGACACCACCTTGACACCACCTTACATCCTTCCTGTAGGCACTGTCACCCTGTTTTCTCCACCGTCCCCTACACGCGCTTCCTGTAACTGTCTTCACTTCACACCATCCTTACACCGCCGTGAATCCTTCCTGTAACCCTCCTCACACCATCTGTCAGCATCCTTCACGTCTTTTCACCTCACTCCATCGCACCTCACCTGACCCCACCCCACCCTGCTCCACCGCACACCACCCCTTCCCATCCCAGCTACGTGGGCGACGAGAACGGTGTGTTCCACGTGTTGGAGGTGGACGATGGTGGTCGCCTCAACAAACGGCCCTACTCCGTGCCTCCCTACGTCACCATGGGTGAGTGAGGAGCAACGCCACGAGCACACAGGGAACGAGGCCATGCAGTACCTACCCCTCCCATGGCCTCGTTCCCATGGCCTCGTTCCCATGGCCTCGTTCCCATGGCCTCGTTCCCATGGCCTCGTTCCCATGGCCTCGTTCCCATGGCCTCGTTCCCATGGCCTCGTTCCCATGGCCTCGTTCCCATGGCCTCGTTCCCATGGCCTCGTTCCCATGGCCTCGTTCCCATGGCCTCGTTCCCATGGCCTCGTTCCCATGGCCTCGTTCCCATGGCCTCGTTCCCATGGCCTCGTTCCCATGGCCTCGTTCCCATGGCCTCGTTCCCATGGCCTCGTTCCCATGGCCTCGTTCCCATGGCCTCGTTCCCATGGCCTCGTTCCCATGGCCTCGTTCCCATGGCCTCGTTCCCATGGCCTCGTTCCCATGGCCTCGTTCCCATGGCCTCGTTCCCATGGCCTCGTTCCCATGGCCTCGTTCCCATGGCCTCGTTCCCATGGCCTCGTTCCCATGGCCTCGTTCCCATGGCCTCGTTCCCATGGCCTCGTTCCCATGGCCTCGTTCCCATGGCCTCGTTCCCATGGCCTCGTTCCCATGGCCTCGTTCCCATGGCCTCGTTCCCATGGCCTCGTTCCCATGGCCTCGTTCCCATGGCCTCGTTCCCATGGCCTCGTTCCCATGGCCTCGTTCCCATGGCCTCGTTCCCATGGCCTCGTTCCCATGGCCTCGTTCCCATGGCCTCGTTCCCATGGCCTCGTTCCCATGGCTGGCCTTGTTCCCATGGCCTCGTTCCCATGGCCTCGTTCCCATGGCCTCGTTCCCATGGCCTCGTTCCCATGGCCTCGTTCCCATGGCCTCGTTCCCATGGCCTCGTTCCCATGGCCTCGTTCCCATGGCCTCGTTCCCATGGCCTCGTTCCCATGGCCTCGTTCCCATGGCCTCGTTCCCATGGCCTCGTTCCCATGGCCTCGTTCCCATGGCCTCGTTCCCATGGCCTCGTTCCCATGGCCTCGTTCCCATGGCCTCGTTCCCATGGCCTCGTTCCCATGGCCTCGTTCCCATGGCCTCGTTCCCATGGCCTCGTTCCCATGGCCTCGTTCCCATGGCCTCGTTCCCATGGCCTCGTTCCCATGGCCTCGTTCCCATGGCCTCGTTCCCATGGCCTCGTTCCCATGGCCTCGTTCCCATGGCCTCGTTCCCATGGCCTCGTTCCCATGGCCTCGTTCCCATGGCCTCGTTCCCATGGCCTCGTTCCCATGGCCTCGTTCCCATGGCCTCGTTCCCATGGCCTCGTTCCCATGGCCTCGTTCCCATGGCCTCGTTCCCATGGCCTCGTTCCCATGGCCTCGTTCCCATGGCCTCGTTCCCATGGCCTCGTTCCCATGGCCTCGTTCCCATGGCCTCGTTCCCATGGCCTCGTTCCCATGGCCTCGTTCCCATGGCCTCGTTCCCATGGCCTCGTTCCCATGGCCTCGTTCCCATGGCCTCGTTCCCATGGCCTCGTTCCCATGGCCTCGTTCCCATGGCCTCGTTCCCATGGCCTCGTTCCCATGGCCTCGTTCCCATGGCCTCGTTCCCATGGCCTCGTTCCCATGGCCTCGTTCCCATGGCCTCGTTCCCATGGCCTCGTTCCCATGGCCTCGTTCCCATGGCCTCGTTCCCATGGCCTCGTTCCCATGGCCTCGTTCCCATGGCCTCGTTCCCATGGCCTCGTTCCCATGGCCTCGTTCCCATGGCCTCGTTCCCATGGCCTCGTTCCCATGGCCTCGTTCCCATGGCCTCAATCCCATGGCCTCGTTCCCATGGCCTCGTTCCCATGGCCTCGTTCCCATGGCCTCGTTCCCATGGCCTCAATCCCATGGCCTCGTTCCCATGGCCTCGTTCCCATGGCCTCGTTCCCATGGCCTCGTTCCCATGGCCTCGTTCCCATGGCCTCGTTCCCATGGCCTCGTTCCCATGGCCTCGTTCCCATGGCCTCGTTCCCATGGCCTCGTTTTCATGGCTGGCCTCGTTCCCATGGCCTCGTTCCCATGGCCTCGTTCCCATGGCCTCGTTCCCATGGCCTCGTTCCCATGGCCTCGTTCCCATGGCCTCGTTCCCATGGCCTCGTTCCCATGGCCTCGTTCCCATGGCCTCGTTCCCATGGCCTCGTTCCCATGGCCTCGTTCCCATGGCCTCGTTCCCATGGCCTCGTTCCCATGGCCTCGTTCCCATGGCCTCGTTCCCATGGCCTCGTTCCCATGGCCTCGTTCCCATGGCCTCGTTCCCATGGCCTCGTTCCCATGGCCTCGTTCCCATGGCCTCGTTCCCATGGCCTCGTTCCCATGGCCTCGTTCCCATGGCCTCGTTCCCATGGCCTCGTTCCCATGGCCTCGTTCCCATGGCCTCGTTCCCATGGCCTCGTTCCCATGGCCTCGTTCCCATGGCCTCGTTCCCATGGCCTCGTTCCCATGGCCTCGTTCCCATGGCCTCGTTCCCATGGCCTCGTTCCCATGGCCTCGTTCCCATGGCCTCGTTCCCATGGCCTCGTTCCCATGGCCTCGTTCCCATGGCCTCGTTCCCATGGCCTCGTTCCCATGGCCTCGTTCCCATGGCCTCGTTCCCATGGCCTCGTTCCCATGGCCTCGTTCCCATGGCCTCGTTCCCATGGCCTCGTTCCCATGGCCTCGTTCCCATGGCCTCAATCCCATGGCCTCGTTCCCATGTCCTTGTTCCCATGGCCTCGTTCCCATGGCCTCGTTCCCATGGCCTCGTTCCCATGGCCTCGTTCCCATGGCCTCGTTCCCATGGCCTCGTTCCCATGGCCTCGTTTTCATGGCTGGCCTCGTTCCCATGGCCTCGTTCCCATGGCCTCGTTCCCATGGCCTCGTTCCCATGGCCTCGTTCCCATGGCCTCGTTCCCATGGCCTCGTTCCCATGGCCTCGTTCCCATGGCCTCGTTCCCATGGCCTCGTTCCCATGGCCTCGTTCCCATGGCCTCGTTCCCATGGCCTCGTTCCCATGGCCTCGTTCCCATGGCCTCGTTCCCATGGCCTCGTTCCCATGGCCTCGTTCCCATGGCCTCGTTCCCATGGCCTCGTTCCCATGGCCTCGTTCCCATGGCCTCGTTCCCATGGCCTCGTTCCCATGGCCTCGTTCCCATGGCCTCGTTCCCATGGCCTCGTTCCCATGGCCTCCCAGTCCATCACACAGTCCCTCTCTCCCATCCAATACTCTCCTCTCGTCTCACAACACAACCCCTGCAACACAACACAAGCCCTCCACGCCACAAGCCCTCCACGGCACAAGCCGGTCTTCCCATGAACTCCGTGTTTACATCCCTGCTCCTCCCAGTAACGTCCTTCTGTCATGGCCTTGTCCCCTTCCCTCCCAACCCAACCTCCCTATCCCGCCCGTGCATCCCTCCCCCCATGCAATGCAGCGGGTCTCGTGAAGCAGGAATCCACGCACATGCCAGCCCTGATCGCCATTCTCCCCCAACCAGAAGCCCTCCACACGCGCGTCCTCCTCGCCTACTCCAACTCCCTCGCGCTCCTCTGGGACCTCCACGCCCTCCGCGTCCTCGCCATGCGCGGCGGCTCCGAAATGCAGACCGCCTCTCAGAAGCCGGCGACCGCCTGGCAGACCTCCAAACAGGCAGGCGAAACGTCCCGAAACCCACGGATGAAGACGAGGAGGGCGACGAGGAGTGCGATGGGCCCGAGCTGTCGTGCTTGTGCTGGGCTTGTCCGGCGGGATCGGTGTTTGCTGCTGGGTATACCAACGGAGAGATTGCTCTTTGGGGGTTGCCCCACCCGCCGCTGCCCGTGGGAGCGGGAGGAGCAGCGGGAGCGGGAGTGCCGGGAGTGCCGTCTCCGTCGGGGTCTTTTTCCTCATCGGTGGTTCCGACGATCTCGGTTTCGCTGTCGTCGTTGTCATCTGGGGGGTTGAGTGTGCCGATCTCGCCGTGCAGTTTGAAGGCGCTCGGCGAGGAGATTACATCGCAGCCGTTGGTCCGGCTGCAGGTGCAGGGCGGGAAGGGCGAACGGTCGGCGATCACTGCGTTGAGATGGTGTGCCGATGCGAGACGAGCAGGGGAGAGAGGAGGAGAAAGAGGAGAACGAGAGGCGGGGGAAAGTGGAGAGAGAGGAGGAGAGAGAGGAGGGGGGAGATGCATGGAGAGGGGAGGAGGGAGGCTGTACGTGTGTGGGGGGGAGATGCCAGGGCTACTGGGGTCAGTGACTGTGGTGCAGCTGGGGGGGTTAGAGGAGGGCATGAAGGAGAAGGGGATGGTGAAGCTGCCCTGGTTTGGTCCTGTGGCTGATGTCGTGGTGGCACCCTCTGCTCTCGGCAGCACCGTTGCCTCTGCTATCCTCGTGCTCACCTTCCCTGGTCAGGTATGTGTGATTGAGGAGACTGAAAAGTCACAGCAACTGGGGGGGTTAAAGAGGATGTAAAGGGGGATTAGAGGAGGGCATGAGGGAGAAGGGGATGGTGAAGTTACCCTGGTTTGGGCCTGTGGCTGATGTCGTGGTGGCACCCTCTGCGCTCGGCAGCACGGCTGCCTCTGCTATTCTCGTGCTTACCTTCCCTGGGCAGGTATGTGTGGTTGAGGAGACTGAAAAGTCACAGCAACTGGGGGGGGGGTAATGGGGATATAGAGGGAGCCTAGAGGAGGGAATGAAGGAGAAGGGGATGGTGAAGCTGCCGTGGTTTGGACCTGTGGCTGATGTCGTGGTGGCGCCTAGTGCTCTCGGCAGCACATGTGCCGTCCTCGTGCTCACCTTCCTCGTGCTCACCTTCCTCGTGCTCACCTTCCCGAGACAGGTGTGTTCTGTTTTGCAAGCAAGTACATTTCCCAAATGGGTATGTTTACTGGGCAGGTATGTTCCAGGGGCTCGTGTGTGCGACCAGTCACAGTCGTATTTTGAGTCAGCTACTCGACTCAAAGCACACTCTACCCTTGTGTACCCCTCTGCACCACTTCCCTCTTCTCTCCACCACTCCTCTCTGCCAGGTCCACCTGTACGACGAGCCAGGCATGGAGCAGCACCTGCCTCTCTCTCACTACCCACCCCTTCCCACCCCTTCCCACTCCTTGCCGCCCCTTCCCACTCCTCGCCACCAGGTCCACCTATACGACGAGCCCGGCATGGAGCAGCATCTGTGTGCGCGCTTGCTCTCCCCGTCGCCCTCCTCCCACCTGCCCACTCCCCCCGACCCCGTGGCGTTTGAGAACCCGGGCTCGGCGGTTACCACCGGCAGACTCATGCTCGCCCCCTGGGGCACGCACGCCTCTCACGTGCTCTCCCAGGTGAGCCCCCTGTGACATTCTTTGCTAGGGTGATTCTGAGGTGACTCCAGAGTGATCCCATGCAATGCCGTGGCGTTTGAGAATCCGAAGTCTGCGGTTACCACCGGCAGACTCATGCTCGCCCCCTGGGGCAGGCATGCCTCACATGTGCTCTCCCAGGTGAGACTCCGGCACAAAGTGGCCCATGGCGGGGGGCTCATTCGGCCAACAACCAGTCTATATCTCCTCTCCCCCCTCTCCATCCCCTCTCAGCTGCCCCGTGTGTCGCAGACCCGCTGTCCCTCTGCTCTCTCCCACGGCACAAAGTGGCCCGTGGCAGGGGTCTCGTTTGGCCAACAACCAGCCAGCTAATACCTGTCCCTGCCTTCCCCTTCTCCCTGTCTCCCATCCCCCCTTTCTCAGCTGCCCCGTGTGTCGCAGACCCAATGCCCCTCGGCTCTCTCCCACGGCACCAAGTGGCCGATGGCGGGGGGATCATTCCGCCAACAACCAGTGTATAACTGTCCCTGCCTTCCCCCTCTCCCCCCACTCCACCCATTCGCAGCTGCCCCGTGTATCACAGACCCGCTGTCCCTCTGCTCTCTCCCACGGCACAAAGTGGCCCGTGGCGGGTGGTTCATTCGGCCAGCAGCCAGAGATCTCTCCAGAGGACGGGCTGTGCCTCTACATCTCGGGCCACCGCAACGGCGTCACTCACGTTTCCGATGTCTCGACCCCATTGATCGTTCCCCTGGCATCAGCCCCAGCTCACCTGACCCAGGTAGGAATCACCGATGGTGTCTGACAAGTGTACAGAATCGCCAGCAGCCAGAGATCTCTCCAGAGGACGGGCTGTGCCTGTACATCTCAGGCCACCGCAACGGCGTGACCCATGTTTCCGATGTCTCAACACCGCTGATTGTCCCACTGGCCTCGGCTCCTGCTCACCTGAACCATAGAGGTAAGTGGACATATGAAATCACGGTTTGAAGGTTGCCCTTAGAGTGGGCTGTGCATTTATCAGGTAAGTGCTCACTCGAGTTTCAAAAGGTAGGCTGCGGGTGTGATACCTTGTACTCTCTCCGTTCTCTTTTCCCACCCGTTCCCTCATCCTCCACTCCTCACACTCCCCACTCTCACACCAATCACAGGCTGACGATCAGCCGAGCTACACTGCAGTGACAGTGGTGGACTTCTGTGCGGTATCGGCGCTGCTGCTGGTGGGGTATGAGGACGGGCTGGTGGAGTGATGCGATGCCTAGTCCTATCCCTCCTCCCGCCTTCCCCTCCACAACAGGCTGATGATCAGCCGAGCTACACGGCAGTAACAGCGGTGGACTTCTGTGCGGTATCAGCGCTGTTGCTGGTGGGGCATGAGGACGGGCTGGTGGAGTAATAGTTTCCCCTCCCTTCATTTTGCTTCCCTCCTTCCCGCCTTCCTGCGTCCTTCCTCCTTTCCTCATGCTCCCTGCCCCACCCTTTCTACCCCACCCCATTGTTGTGTGATGCTATCATTCGCATTCACGTCTGTCTGCCTCCCATCAAATGTTTGTGCATTGCATGCGTGGTGTGAGCGTGTGCAAGAATTTGTGATATGCGTGATTTGGATTTCCTGAGTGTGTGTGAATGTTATTTGAATTGGGCAGATATCTGAAGTGATTCATCTGCTCAAGAGCTTTCCGACGAACCAAGAATCGTCGCAATCGGAGCAATATCAAGAAAGTTACGAACGTTGGAGTTCGTATGCTTTCTGTACTTTGGTTGCGGCGACTATGGGAAGTTGTGGGGCTTGCTCAATATGGGGTACAAACTTTTGGGGGTTGGGAATTCGAACCCATCACTGTAGATTGCTGCCATGTGGTTGGGTGAAGCCAAACCAGGTTGGCAAGTGTGGCCAAGTGGGTTGAGGTGGATGGCATGGGTTGGAAAGTGACAAATGTCAAAGTGGGGTTGCCATAGGGAGGGGATTTGATGTGATATGGGGTTTCCTTGGTTGGGGACTCCCTTGGGACCTTCCCTCTCGTCCTCCTCTTCCCTCCCACCTGGTTTAGTGCTACTCTAATGTTCTTTGTGGAACTTTTGTGAAACTTGTGAGAACTATTGTGAGTGAGTTAAGTTTCTGTGTGGCAGCATACCCCCTAGTGCGCCGAAAAGCATAACTCGAGATATACTCCATCTTTTGAGGTGATTCAAATTGGGAATTGTAGCCACGGTCTAGAGCTACAACATACTCGAGTTTGACGGAATTCTAACGGTTAGTTTTTCGTCGACGGCGTTTCTTGTGAAATCGCGGTTTATGTCTAGAATTCTAAGCCAACGATTTTGAGTTATTTGGGCACCTATTCTTCATAGACTCGATCCTTAATCTCTAACAAGTGGTATTAGAGCAGATTGAGGACTTTTTGGGGAGTCTACTGAAGTGTGAAGACCCTCTTAGACCCACCATGGCCTGTGGGCGTGCCTAAGTGGAGTTCTGGAGGTTGGGAGTGACTTCCGCTAAGGGGAAACTCTGCCGAAATTTCGTTGGCGCCGACACTTTTGGAAATTGTGCGGGACGTCGGTGTGGACAGAAAAAAGGGGGAGCTGAAACCTCTGATTCGGAGCAGAGGAGATTAGTGGAGAAGCAACTAAAAAAAGAGGAGTGAGCCGCCACCATCCAAGATTGAGGCGTTGGATGGCTCCAACTACGAGGAATGGAGCGGGCGGATGAGGAGCGTCTTCAAGCGCTACAAGCTGCTGAAACTCGCGATGGGAGAAGAGAAGATGCCGGAGGAAGGTGATGCCCGCGACCGGTGGATTGAGCGGAGCGCGGTGCTGTACGACTTGATTCTACAATCAGTCAACAACGATATGTTCCAGCATATCAAGGATTTGGTGGAGCTGGACGACTCCGGACCGAAGGCGTGGAAGCTGCTACGCGACGTGGTACAACCCAACACGCTGCCGATGGTGATCGTATTGGAAAACGAGCTGGCTGCCCTCTCCATGAAGCCGGGAGACGATGTGAAGCCGGTGCTTGACAAGATCAAGGACACCTATGCGAGGATGGCAGCGGCGGGCAGCAAGGTGTCGGAGATGCAACCGTGCACCAAGATCATCTCGGTGCTCGACAACTCGTGGGACAACCTCATCCCCACCCTCAACGTTCAGCAGGACAAGTGGACGCCTGAATGGCTACGGCAGCAGATCCTGCAGGAGGACTTCCGCAGGCGCCACACGGGAGGTGGTGCTGCCAACAAGACTGCTGAGGGGTACGGAGCTGCAGGAGGCAGCCGAGGAAGAGGGGGAGGGAGAGGCCGTGGCAGTGGGAGAGGCTTTGGCAGAGGGAGAGGCCGAGGTGACTACAACGAGGGGCATGGGAGCTCTGGTGGCAGGGGGAGCACCCGAATGGAGGGTGCGTGCTGGTACTGCAAGAAGGCTGGACACCCGTGGTTCAAGTGTTTCAGCCGGCCTGAAGGATGGGCGCCTCCAGGCATGAAGCCGCCAAGTGGTGAACGCGCACGAGGTGGCGCTGTGCAAGGTTCAGGTGCACAAGGTGATGGTGCACAAGGTAAAGCTGACCCTGGGCTGTTCCTCATGGTTGAGGAAGTGAAAGGGAGTGAGGATGATGTGGGTTCAGTTGGGAAGGTTGTGATGCACCCCCTCACTCACTGGGTGATCGATTTTGGATGCACGAGTCACATGACTCCGCGGGCAGATTTGCTTGATGAGGTGAAACCCCCCGGGAAGATCAAGTTTGTGGCTGCCGCTTCAGGTGCTTTGCTCCCTGTGATTGGTGTTGGGAATGCCAAGGTGATGGGAGCCAATGGGGGACTTGTGGGGCTTGAGAATGTCCTACTTGTTGAAAGTTTGTCCGCCAACCTACTTTCTGTGCGCCGGCTGCAGAAAAGCAAGGCCAAAGTCACGTTCGGCCCAACCAGCTGCCGTGCGAAGCTTGGGAAGTTGCTGCTGTGGGATTTGGAGGAGAAGAGCAGCTGCATCAAGGACCTGTGGCAGCTGCCCATCATCCCTTGGAACGGGAAACCGCCAGCAACGGCAAAGGCAGCGGCAGCGGCTAAGGCAACTGCGGGAGGAGAGGTGACTGCACCAACTGCTGGGGCCCTGGATGCAGTCAAGAAGGTGCAGCAGCCAAAGCAATCACATGGTGAGGTGCTTGCTGGTGTGGATGCAACAGCTGCGTGGGCGAAGGCTTCGTCTGGGAGTGGTGAGGCCAATTGGGAGACGTGGCACGAGAGGTTGTGCCACATCAACATTCCGATGCTGCAGAAGTTAGTGAAGGATGGGAGTTTGAAGGGGATGGAGGTGAAAGAGGCAGGGAAGGAGATTGGGAGCTGCCCTACATGCCTTGAGACAAAATTCACCAAGTTCCCTTTCAGCAGCAGCACGGGACCAGCCAAGGCACCGCTCGCGCTTGTGCACATGGATGTGGTGGGGCCTACGAGGGCCCTTTCTCTCTCGGGCAGCCGCTACTTCTTGACCATCGTGGACGACCACACGCGTGCGGTGTGGGTCTACCCTCTCAAGACGAAGGGGGATGTGGCAGCGGCTGTTCTCAAGGAGTGGATGCCGAGAGCTCAAAGGGAGAGCGGACACAAGGTGAAGGTGATCCGCACGGACAATGGGGGAGAGTTCATTGGCGCTGATTTTGAGGCGGTGCTGAAGAAGAAGGGAATCCAGCATCAGCTCACAGTGCCCTACAACCCGCAGCAAAACGGCGTGGCTGAGCGGTTCAACCGTACCCTGCAGGAAGGTGCTCGCACTCTCCTTGGGCGTGCAGGGCTGCCGGATCCGTTTTGGGTGACTGCACTGCGGCAGGTGGTTGTTGTGAAGAACAGGGTGCTCGCGACTGTGGGGGACAAGCAGTGGATCCCCTACACCAAGTGGTATGGGAGTGCACCTGCAGTCAACATGCTGAGAGCCTACGGCTGCATGGTGGTGTTTCATGTGCCTAAGGAGAAGAGGGGAAAGCTGGAAGCTTCTGGGAGATGGGGTGTGCACTTGGGACTTGCTAAGGATCACAAGGGCTGGCTGATATGGGACTTGACAAGCCAGCAGCTGACTGTGTCGAGGGATGTGAAATTCCTCGAGTCCTTGTACTACAAGGAGTGGAAGCAGCAGCAGCAGAAGCTTCCTACGACACCGCTGATCATTGAGGCCGATGAGGTGCAGCGGCCTTCAAGGCAGGTGGAAGTCTCCGTGTCGGGGGAGGAGATCTCTGGGGTGACTGAGGATGGGGGAGAACCTGAGGTGGAGGAGCAGCAGCAGCGGCAGCAGCAGCAGCAGCAGCAGCAGCAGCAGCAGCAAAGTGCTCCACAAGGTGCCGCACGTACGGCTGACCGTCCTAGGAGGGATGTGCGCCCTCCTAACCGGCTGACCTATCCGAGCTTTGGGAAGCCAAAGGTGGTGCGGGCAGGGAGTGTGGCTGAGCAGTGTGATGAGGAGGAGATAGCGCACTGCTACTGGGCAGCCGTCCCTGAGCCCAAGACGCTCACCGAGGCCTTGAGTGGGCCCGATGCTGAGAAGTGGAAGCAGAGTGTGAAGGAGGAGTATGACTCTCTGCTGGAGAACGACACGTGGGAGCTGTGTGAGCTGCCTCCTGGGAAGAAGGCAATCTCTTCGAAGCTGATTTTCAGGCACAAGTACGGGCCTGATGGGGAGCTGACCCGCTACAAGTCAAGGCTTGTGGCTAAGGGGTTCCAGCAGACAAAGGGCAAGGATTTTGACGACATCTTTGCTCCTGTGGGGAAAGGGACTACACTGAGGACGATGTTGGCAATGGCTGCAAAGATGGATATTATAACTGCCTTCCTCAACGGGATCATCTTGGAGGAGCTGTACATGCTGCAGCCTGAGGGGCTGGATGATGGGAGCGGCAGGGTGTGCAGGCTGAAGAAGGCCATCTATGGCTTGAAGCAGGCTCCTCGTGCATGGTACCACAAGCTGGAGGAGACACTGCTGGCTGGGGGGTTCAAGAAGAGTGAGTGCGACCACAGCCTGTTCCTGCTGCAAGAGAAGGAGCAGTTTCTCATGCTCCTGGTATACGTGGACGACATCCTCCTCTTCTCAGAGTCGTCTACGATGATTGAGCGTGTGGAGGAGATGCTGGAGATGCAGTTCAAGTGCTCAAAGATGGGAGATGTGAAGTACTACCTGGGGATGCATGTGGAGAGGGACCTCGACAAGGGAGTGTTGAGGTTGCACCAGAGGAAGTACTGTGAGGGGCTGGCTGAGAAGTATGGGCTGCAAGATGGAGGGAAGCCAGCCACCCCACTACCTTCGGGGTTCACTGTGGAGCCCTGTGCTGATGAGGAGGTGGTGGGAGAGAGTGACAGGAAGCTGTTTCATTCCATGGTTGGGGCGCTCAACTATGCGGCTAACCACACGCGGCCTGACATTGCGTTTGCTACATCCAGGCTTGCGAGTGTGGTTTCACGCCCCAGTCATGAGCAGCTGGAAGCGGCCAAGAGGTTGGTCCGCTATGTGAGCGCTACAGCATCAGTGGGCTTGGAGTACAGTGCCGTGAGGCAAAGGCAGCAGCGGGGTGCTGCTGACTTGAGCAAGGGGGAGATGCGCTTGACATGCTACACTGACGCCAGCTTCAACTCTGTGAAGTCGGATGGCACCAGCATTGGAGGCTATGTGTGCCTGTTTGGAGGTGGTGCAGTGAGCTGGCGCAGCAAGAAGCAGAACGAGGTGGGGCTGTCCTCATGTGAGACAGAGTACATGGCCCTGCATCATGGGGCAAAGGAGGTGGTGTGGCTGAGGCGTTTGTTGGAGGAGATTGGTGTTGGTCAGAAGGAGCCAACTGTGATTTTCTGTGACAATGAGTCGACTGTGAAGCTTGCGAAGAATGCCTGTCTTCATGGCCTGACAAAGCACATCAGGCCAAAGTGGCATTGGACGAGGAGGCACTTGGACAAGGAGGTGCGACTGGAGCTTGTGAAGACCCAGCAGCAGGCGGCTGACATTCTCACCAAGCGCCTGGCAGAACCTGAGCATTGGAAGGGCATGAAACTTGCTGGAATGAGTGTGCATTGAGGGTGCATGCTTGAGCTATGGAATGTGGGATGATGGTTGGCAGCCAGAGGGGGAGTTTGTTGTGTGATGCTATCATTCGCATTCACGTCTGTCTGCCTCCCATCAAATGTTTGTGCATTGCATGCGTGGTGTGAGCGTGTGCAAGAATTTGTGATATGCGTGGTTTGGATTTCCTGAGTGTGTGTGAATGTTATTTGAATTGGGCAGATATCTGAAGTGATTCATCTGCTCAAGAGCTTTCCGACGAACCAAGAATCGTCGCAATCGGAGCAATATCAAGAAAGTTACGAACGTTGGAGTTCGTATGCTTTCTGTACTTTGGTTGCGGCGACTATGGGAAGTTGTGGGGCTTGCTCAATATGGGGTACAAACTTTTGGGGGTTGGGAATTCGAACCCATCACTGTAGATTGCTGCCATGTGGTTGGGTGAAGCCAAACCAGGTTGGCAAGTGTGGCCAAGTGGGTTGAGGTGGATGGCATGGGTTGGAAAGTGACAAATGTCAAAGTGGGGTTGCCATAGGGAGGGGATTTGATGTGATATGGGGTTTCCTTGGTTGGGGACTCCCTTGGGACCTTCCCTCTCGTCCTCCTCTTCCCTCCCACCTGGTTTAGTGCTACTCTAATGTTCTTTGTGGAACTTTTGTGAAACTTGTGAGAACTATTGTGAGTGAGTTAAGTTTCTGTGTGGCAGCATACCCCCTAGTGCGCCGAAAAGCATAACTCGAGATATACTCCATCTTTTGAGGTGATTCAAATTGGGAATTGTAGCCACGGTCTAGAGCTACAACATACTCGAGTTTGACGGAATTCTAACGGTTAGTTTTTCGTCGACGGCGTTTCTTGTGAAATCGCGGTTTATGTCTAGAATTCTAAGCCAACGATTTTGAGTTATTTGGGCACCTATTCTTCATAGACTCGATCCTTAATCTCTAACACCCATAACAGGCTGAGGATCAGCCGAGCTACACGGCTGTAACGGCTGTAGACTTCTGTGCGGTATCAGCACTACTGCTGGTGGGGCATGAGGACGGGCTGGTGGAGTTGTTTGAGCTGAGCACGCGCAGGAGAACGCTGTGCTGCCAGATCATCACTGAGAGGGGCGGCTATGAGCAAGGTGTGTGGAGAGTGGGGAGGGGGGACTTGGCTGGGTGGGTGCATGGGGTGGGTTATGCGCACTGGTGGTGAAAGTGGGGGAGGGAAGTTTGCAAAAAATGGGCCAATCTACTGTCCCACATAGTCTCTGTCATGCCTTCACATCCCTTCTTACCACGTCCACACACCAGCCACTCCATCTGAGTGTGAAGAAGGTTTTCAGATGGTGGCCCAGTTCCACCAGCACCGCGCCAAGGTGCGCAGCGTGGCCCTAGAGCCACGGGCGTGGGGCGCCTAGCAATAGGGGATGACAACGAGCGTGGGCCGGCTGGCCATCGGTGTGCTGGGCTCTCACCCCCAATCCCACCCCTCCTCACCCCTTCTTACCGTATCGTACACCAGCCACTCCGTCTGAGTGCGAAGAAGGTTTTCAGATGGTGGCCCAAGTCCACCAGCACCGCGCCAAGGTGCGCAGCGTGGCCCTTGCAACCGGCGTGGGGCGGCTAGCAATAGGGGACGACAACGGCATGATCTCGCTCATAAACCTCGACACCTTCACCCTCATCTGCTACCGGGAACTCCACCCCGGGTCCTCCTCCTCCCCCATCTCCGCCACTGTCTTCGCCGCCCTCCCCGTCCCTTCCACCGATTCCTCCTCCTCCTCCTCTTCCTCTTCCTCCTCTACTTCTTCCTCCCTCACCTCGGCGTCGTTCCCCGCTTCCGCCTCTGCCTCTTTCTACTGACTAGGCCACTTCTGGATGGTTATAATGAATGAGTGGTCTACAACCTTACGGAACTCTCCCCCCCCCACCCACCCACCCAAAAAAAAAAAACGCGTCAGGGCAGGCCTCGTCATTCACCCTGACGCTACAGGGAAGAACACTACAGCCATTCTGAATGTTCAGGGCATTTCATATAACAACATCCTGAGACCTCAGGGTAAAAATTTACACTATTCTGAAATGACAGGGTAAATTTAAAACTGCATCCTGAATTCAGGGTAATCAGGATGTTTTGCCCTGATAACGTGGGGCCTGGTTGAGAATGATGCTGCTCAGGGTGAGGCCATGCTGACTCTGTCTGACTGTATTGTAGTGTAATGCAAATTCACATGCAAAGGTTTGAATGTGCCCCTGTCAAGTCATTCTGGCGTTTTATGATTGAAAGCTTCCAAATGGTAATCTATTTGAACCTGTGCGAAGTTCTCCCATTTTGGAGGGATTTTCACCTGAAGATCCAAAATCGATGAATAACCTGCGGTATTAGAGCGTAATTCGATAGGAAGAGAAGTTACTTTAGCGAGTATAACCCTTGCATAGCTCGGAAATTTGGCGGGAATCTGTGCCCAAGAATGTATCTCGCAGATCGTTCGATAAGTAATTTGCGCCACATAGGTCGTTGCTGCTACAACATTCAGTTGCACACGCGCAATGCAAAGCAGCCATGGCCGTACTATTGCGTTCCCGCCAAACTCACAGTCATCGTAATGATCCTCATTCTCGTCGCGGTGAAAGTCGTTCCGGTCGCGAAGGAGCGGTTCGCAAAGACGCTGGTCGTCTAACGTTCCCCGCGATTCGAACCCGTCACCGCGTCCCGCTATCATTCCTGCTCGCTCTGTCGTCGCTCCTCGTTCTTCTGCTCGCTACCGCATCCTATGCGCTAGACACCACTGCTGGCCAATCCGCCGGCGATCACGGCGGGCATTGCGCGGAGAGTAGCGTCGATGGTTCGCGGACTTGCGCTGCCAGTGGCGACGCGTCGCCCGAAAGATCCGATGCGTATCCGGATTTAAAGACGTCTGAAAATGAAGCCGAGTTTTATCCAGACGAATCCGCGGACGATGGAGGATCTAGAAAGCCTGGGAGCGTCGAGCATGACGTGGCAGGATCGGAGCGCGCCATGGTGGAAGAGTTGCTGACGTGGATGGGTCTGGATTGGACGAGAGACTCGGACGGACCTGAGTATGGCATTGTCGTTGACGGCACTATCGAGGTTAGTGCGACGAATCTACACCACTTAGTGCAGGGTTACGTCCCGTGTCGCGAAATGCTGCGCGTTTGCGTCAACGCCTCGCGTTTCGCCACCAGCCACATGCTGTTTCACAAGTTGACACGTGTCACCTTCCGTGTGTCGTGCCGCCAGGTGGATTTTTCGACTCGCAGCGTGCACGATGCCTTGCCTGAATCTCGAGGCGCGTCAGCCAATCCCGAGGGTGGCACAACCGTGTGGAAACCGAATGACACCCGGTAGGGATCTAAGCTGCTCTTCTGCGCTTGAGAATTTGGTAGAAGCTTAACTGAGGGCTTAACTTAGGCCCGCACATAGGGGCTCACCTAGAGTTCAGCCTCTTAACTCATTCCTTAACCAGGCACTTAGACTCTAAAACCGGACTTGTGCCGCTGTCTCCCCTTCCGACTCCTCTCCCGCTCCCCCTTTGATATACCCCTAACGGCACTGGCAGAGCGGACATTGGCTTTAAGGCAGCTCGCAGAATAGAGGCTGGCGAGGTCATTTTGATAGTTCCACGAAAGTTCTTCATAGTAGCCAACTGGATTGCCCTGGTGAGTGTGACTGTGTGGGTGTGACTGTGTGAGTGTGACTGTGTGAGTGTGACTGTGTGTGGATGTGACTGTGTGGGTGTGACTGTGTGGGTGTGACTGTGTGGATGTGACTGTGTGGGTGTGTGAAAGAGAGGCACACCACCCAACCAGCATCCTTGCCTCCGTTCCTTCTTTCCAACCATCCCTTTCATCCCTCTCCACCCCTCTGCTTCACACTTCTCCATCCCTTTTATCTGTCACCCCTTCTCTACTCACGAGCAGAACGAGGCAGAGCGCCATTTACTGCCAGATGGGTGGGACACATACTCCGTGCTGGCAGCCTTGCTGCTGCGAGAGAGGAAGGCAGAACACCCGACCATTTATCCCTTGCATGCCTGCTTCCTTCCTCCCCTTCCTTCCTCGACAGAACGAGTCAGAGCGCCATTTACTTCCATACGACATGCAGCTGCCAGTGCCGTATGGGTGGGACACATACACCGTGCTGGCAGCCTGGCTGCTAAGAGAGAGGGCCAAGGGCGCTGCGTCCCCCTGGGCGCGCTTCCTGCGCTCCCTACCCGCCTACGTGCCCCTGCCCGCCCTCTTCCCCCAGACGCTGATTGATGATTTTGAATACTGGCCTATCGTTGACCAGGTGGGTGTTGGGTGTGCGGGAGTGGGGTGAGATGGAGTGTGGTGAGAGGGAGAGAGGGCCAAGGGCGCTGCGTCCCCCTGGGTGCGCTTTCTGCGCTCCCTGCCCGCCTACGTGCCCCTGCCCGCGCTCTTCCCCCAGCAGCTCATTGACCAGTTTGAGTACTGGCTGATCGTGGATCAGGTGGGTGGTTTGTGGTTAAATCAGTGGGTGAGAGGGGATGAGAGAGGGCAAGGCCGCTGCTTCCATCTGGGCGCGCTTCCTGCGCTCCCTGCCCTCCTACGTGCCCCTGCCTGCACTCTTCCCCCAACAGCTGATTGACCAGTTTGAGTACTGGCCGATCGTTGACCAGGTGGGTGGATAATGGATTGCGTGGGAGGGAATGTGGTGAGAGGGAGTGGGGTGAGCAGGGGTGCAGTGAGAGGGAGTGCGGTGAGAGGGAGTGCGGTGAGAGGGAGTGCGGTGAGAGGGAGTGGGTTGAGCCAAGGTGCAGTGAGGGGGAGTGGGGTGAGCAGGAGTGCAGTGAGAAGGGAATTTGAAGGAACTCCTGTGCTCCCTGCCTGCCTCCGTACCTCTGCCTTCTCTCTTCGCCACCGTCCCCCCGCTCCCCACATGTCCCCACCTTCTCCCCCCACCCCTAACCTCTCCCATCTCTCCCACTTGAAACCCACCCACCACAGCAGCCCACGTGGCTCAACGCAGCATATGCCGACCTGTACGATCGCTGCAGCAGCAACACCACCACCATCGTTTATGCCTCTTCCCTCCCCGTAACTCCATTTCTGTCCCGTCAACCCCCCTCTTCCCCCCCCCACCACAGGACACGCGGCTCAAGGCGGCATACCGCCGACCTGTATGACAGATGCATGCCTCTTCCCTCCCCATAACTCCATTTCTGTCCCGTCAACCCCCCTCTCTCCCCCACCACAGGCCACGCATCTCAAGGCCGCATACGCCGACCTGTATGACAGATGCAACCCCACTGCCATCGCCAACGCCACTCGCTCCGAGTTCTATTGGGCGCTCGCTATAGTCACATCGCGCTGCTTCACCTTCTCGCCTTCCCTGCGCGCCCGTGGGGGTGGGGAGGAGAAGCAGGGGGAGGGGGCAGAGGGGGCGGAGGGGGTGGAGGGGGACGGGCAAGGAGGGGAAGATGGGGCAGAAGTAGCAGCTGAAGCAGCAGGAGAAGCAGGAGGGGAGTCAGATCAGGGGAGTTCTGGCAACAGTGGCAATAGCAGCAGTGTTGGCGAGAGAGGGGAGGATTGGTATGCCACGTCAGCAGCCATGCTCCCATTCGCTGATCTGTTCAACCATGATTACTACCCCAACATGGGATGGAAGGTGAGCGGTGGAGAATGAGGAATGGGGGGTGAGAGATGGGAGGTGAGGGGTGAGAGGTGAGGAAATGGTCCCCCTCCTTTCTCCAACTTCTGTACTCCCCCTCGCCACCCCCTTCCCTCATGCGCTTCCCTCCTCGCCAGCTCTCAGGGGACCATTTCCTCTGCACCACCTACCAGGCCATCGAGAAAGGAGAGGCGCTGACCTAATCGTTTGGCTATTCTCCCAGCCCCCCTAACCTCATCCCCTTTCCTCTCCACCTTTTTCTCCCCTCCAGCTGTCTGGCGACCATTTCTTCTTCACCACCTACCAGGCCATCGAGCGGAGCATATCGTATCACGTCCCAACCCTCTCCCAAACTCTTCCTCTTCCCCTCCTCTCCCTTTTCTCCTCCAGCTGTCAGGGGAAAATTTCCTCTTCACCACCTACCAGGCCATCGAGAAAGGAGAGCCGCTGAGCATATCATATGGAGCCAAGCCCACCATTGACATGGTGGCGGAGTATGGCTTCGTGCCTGCTTACAACCCCTTTGATACGGTCATCCTCTTCCCTAGGTGAGATGTTCCATTGCTGCATTGCACGCTTGCATTCCACTTGCGCTGCTGCACTCTAGAGCACTCCCCACTGAGCATATCGTACGGCACCAAGCCCACCACTGACGTGGTGGCAGGAGTATGGCTTCGTGCCTGCGTACAACCCTTATGACACCGTGATCCTCTTCCCCAGGTGAGGTGCTGCTCTCCCCCATGCCCTGTGTTGCACTGCGACACATCAAGCCCACCATTGACATGGTGGCGGATTATGGCTTCGTCCCCGCCTATAATCCCTATGACACCGTCGTGCTCTTTCCCAGGTGAGAATGTTCCATTGCAGCATTGCTGCGCTTCCGCAGGCCCTAGCGTTCGCAAGCCCACCATTGACATGGTGGCGGGGCAGAGAGTATGGCCTCGTGCCATCGTACAACCCCTTTGATACAGTCATCCTCTTCCCCAGGTGAGATGTTCCATTGCTGCATTGACACACACTCGGATGTTCCACTGCATTGCAGTGCATTTGACACCACACTCGGGTGACAATCTACTGTTCCCAACCCCACCATTGACGTGGTGCCGGACTATGGCTTCCTAAGCCTAAGCCTAAGCCTAAGCCTAAGCCTAAGCCTAAGCCTAAGCCTAAGCCTAAGTCTAAGCCTAAGCGCCTAAGCCTAAGCCTAAGCGCCTAAGCCTAAGCCTAAGCGCGTAAGCCTAAGCCTAAGCCTAAGCCTAAGCCTAAGCCTAAGCCTAAGCCTAAGCCTAAGCCTAAGCCTAAGCCTAAGCCTAAGCCTAAGCCTAAGCCTAAGCCTAAGCCTAAGCCTAAGCCTAAGCCTAATCCTAATCCTAAGCCTAAGCCTAAGCCTAAGCCTAAGCCTAAGCCTAAGCCTAAGCCTAAGCCTAAGCCTAAGCCTAAGCCTAAGCCTAAGCCTAAGCCTAAGCCTAAGCCTAAGCCTAAGCCTAAGCCTAAGCCTAAGCCTAAGCCTAAGCCTAAGCCTAAGCCTAAGCCTAAGCCTAAGCCTAAGCCTAAGCCTAAGCCTAAGCCTAAGCCTAAGCCTAAGCCTAAGCCTAAGCCTAAGCCTAAGCCTAAGCCTAAGCCTAAGCCTAAGCCTAAGCCTAAGCCTAAGCCTAAGCCTAAGCCTAAGCCTAAGCCTAAGCCTAAGCCTAAGCCTAAGCCTAAGCCTACTCCTAAGCCTAAGCCTAAGCCTAAGCCTAAGCCTAAGCCTAAGTCTAAGCTTAAGCGCCTAAGCCTAAGCCTAAGCGCCTAAGCCTAAGCCTAAGCGCGTAAGCCTAAGCCTAATCCTAAGCCTAAGCCTAAGCCTTTGCCTAAGCCTAAGCCTAAGCTCAAGTCTAAGCCTAAGCCTAAGCCTAAGCCTAAGCCTAAGCCTAAGCCTAAGCCTAAGCCTAAGCCTAAGCCTAAGCCTAAGCCTAAGCCTAAGCCTAAGCCTAAGCCTAAGCCTAAGCCTAAGCCTAAGCCTAAGCCTAAGCCTAAGCCTAAGCCTAAGCCTAAGCCTAAGCCTAAGCCTAAGCCTAAGCCTAAGCCTAAGCCTAAGCCTAAGCCTAAGCCTAAGCCTAAGCCTAAGCCTAAGCCTAAGCCTAAGCCTAAGCCTAAGCCTAAGCTCTCCTAAGCCTAAGCCTAAGCCTAAGCCTAAGCCTAAGCCTAATCCTAATCCTAAGCCTAAGCCTAAGCCTAAGCCTAAGCCTAAGCCTAAGCCTAAGCCTAAGCCTAAGCCTAAGCCTAAGCCTAAGCCTAAGCCTAAGCCTAAGCCTAAGCCTAAGCCTAAGCCTAAGCCTAAGCCTAAGCCTAAGCCTAAGCCTAAGCCTAAGCCTAAGCCTAAGCCTAAGCCTAAGCCTAAGCCTAAGCCTAAGCCTAAGCCTAAGCCTAAGCCTAAGCCTAATCCTAGGCCTAAGCCTAAGCCTAAGCCTAAGCCTAAGCCTAAGCCTAAGCCTAAGCCTAAGCCTAAGCCTAAGCGCATAAGCCTAAGCGCCTATGCCTAAGCCTAAGCCTAAGCCTAAGCCTAAGCCTAAGCCTAAGCCTAAGCCTAAGCCTAAGCCTAAGCCTAAGCCTAAGCCTAAGCCTAAGCCTAAGCCTAAGCCTAAGCCTAAGCCTAAGCCTAAGCCTAAGCTATGTTCAGAAAGACGCACGGAGGACGCTGCATCCTGCGTCTGGACGCAGCGTCTGGACGCTAGGACGCAGGACGCGCGTCCAGACGCAAGACGCACGTCGAATTTTTTTCCGGGCTGCCCGATTTTTTTTTCCCGATTGCGCAATCTACATTCGCGATTTCGACGCGACTCTCGAAATCGCGAAATTTCGGCCTCCCCTTGCCCAAATCGCCATTGAAAACGAGCTAGGTGAGATATAAATATATGACGAGAAGCTAGGGGTGAGCTGAGCTTGCGCTAGAGCTTGCACAGAATGTCGTGCAGCTCAAATTTGACCCCAACGACATTTGTCGGGGGGGTCAAATCCCCGCAACAATGAGATCTGGCGAAATTGACTCAAATTTGAACAAAAACCGCATTTCACCGCACTGAATATAGAATTTCCAACCAGTCTATCAATTCCCAATCCAGTTCGATCAGATCTGGCCGCATTTGTTGGCCTGAGATATAGTCGACAGCGTAATCAACTCTTATGGTTTTCTCGAGTAGCTTATAAGTAGAGCTGACGAAGCTAATTGTCGCAAGGGAGATAGGCGGGCCAGAACAGCCCGACCCGCCCCCGTGCTCATCCAGGGCCTATACATTTTTTTTGCCTGCCCGGGGTTTTTTTTGCCCTGCCCGGGCTTGCGTCTTTTGGTGCGTCTTTCTGGTCCTGGTGCTGCGTCCTGCGTCTGGACGCATGCGTCCAGGACGCAGGACGTGTCTTTCGGAACATAGAGCCTAAGTCTAAGTCTAAGCTTAAGCCTAAGCCTAAGCCTAAGCTTAAGCGCGTAAGCCTAAGCCTAAGCCTAAGCCTAAGCCTAAGCCTAAGCCTAAGCCTAAGCCTAAGCCTAAGCCTAAGCCTAAGCCTAAGCCTAAGCCTAAGCCTAAGCCTAAGCCTAAGCCTAAGCCTAAGCCTAAGCCTAAGCGCAAGCCTAAGCCTAAGCCTAAGCCTAAGCCTAAGCCTAAGCCTAAGCCTAAGCCTAAGCCTAAGCCTAAGCCTAAGCCTAAGCCTAAGCCTAAGCCTAAGCCTAAGCCTAAGCCTAAGCCTAAGCCTAAGCCTAAGCCTAAGCCTAAGCCTAAGCCTAAGCCTAAGCCTAAGCCTAAGCCTAAGCCTAAGCGCCTAAGCCTAATCCTAAGCCTTTGCCTAAGCCTAAGCCTAAGCCTAAGCCTAAGTCTAAGCCTAAGCTTAAGCCTAAGCCTAAGCCTAAGCTTAAGCGCGTAAGCCTAAGCCTAAGCCTAAGCCTAAGCCTAAGCCTAAGCCTAAGCCTAAGCCTAAGCCTAAGCCTAAGCCTAAGCCTAAGCCTAAGCCTAAGCCTATTCCTAAGCCTAAGCCTAAGCCTAAGCCTAAGCCTAAGCCTAAGCCTAAGCCTAAGCCTAAGCCTAAGCCTAAGCCTAAGCCTAAGCCTAAGCCTAAGCCTAAGCCTAAGCCTAAGCCTAAGCCTAAGCCTAAGCCTAAGCCTAAGCCTAAGGCTAATCCTAAGCCTAAGCCTAAGCCTAAGCCTAAGCCTAAGCCTAAGCCTAAGCCTAAGCCTAAGCCTAAGCCTAAGCCTAAGCCTAAGCCTAAGCCTAAGCCTAAGCCTAAGCCTAAGCCTAAGCCTAAGCCTAAGCCTAAGCCTAAGCCTAAGCCTAAGCCTAAGCCTAAGCCTAAGCCTAAGCCTAAGCCTAAGCCTAAGCCTAAGCCTAAGCCTAATCCTAGGCCTAAGCCTAAGCCTAAGCCTAAGCCTAAGCCTAAGCCTAAGCCTAAGCCTAAGCCTAAGCCTAAGCCTAAGCCTAAGCCTAAGCCTAAGCCTAAGCCTAAGCCTAAGCCTAAGCCTAAGCCTAAGCCTAAGCCTAAGCCTAAGCCTAAGCCTAAGCCTAAGCCTAAGCCTAAGCCTAAGCCTAAGCCTAAGCCTAAGCCTAAGCCTAAGCCTAAGCCTAAGCCTAAGCCTAAGCCTGCGCCTAAGCCTAAGCCTAAGCCTAAGCCTAAGCCTAAGCCTAATCCTAAGCCAAAGCCTAAGCCTAAGCCTGCGCCTAAGCCTAAGCCTAAGCCTAAGCCTAAGCCTAAGCCTAAGCCTAAGCCTAAGCCTAAGCCTAAGCCTAAGCCTAAGCCTAAGCCTAAGCCTAAGCCTAAGCCTAAGCCTAAGCCTAAGCCTAAGCCTAAGCCTAAGCCTAAGCCTAAGCCTAAGCCTAAGCCTAAGCCTAAGCCTAAGCCTAAGCCTAAGCCTAAGCCTAAGCCTAAGCCTAAGCCTAAGCCTAAGCCCTTAAGCTTAGGCCTAAGCCTAAGCCTAAGCCTAAGCCTAAGCCCTTAAGCTTAAGCCTAAGCCTAAGCCTAAGCCTAAGCCTAAGCCTAAGCGCCTAAGCCTAAGCCTAAGCCGAAGCCCCTATGCCTAAGCCTAAGCCTAAGCCTAAGCCTAAGCCTAAGCCTAAGCCTAAGCCTAAGCCTAAGCCTAAGCCTAAGCCTAAGCCTAAGCCTAAGCCTAAGCCTAAGCCTAAGCCTAAGCCTGCGCCTAAGCCTAAGCCTAAGCCTAAGCCTAAGCCTAAGCCTAAGCCTAAGCCTAAGCCTAAGCCTAAGCCTAAGCCTAAGCCTAAGCCTAAGCCTAAGCCTAAGCCTAAGCCTAAGCCTAAGCCTAAGCCTAAGCCTAAGCCTAAGCCTAAGCCTAAGCCTAAGCCTAAGCCTAAGCCTAAGCCTAAGCCTAAGCCTAAGCCTAAGCCTAAGCCTAAGCCTAAGCCTAAGCCTAAGCCTAAGCCTAAGCCTAAGCCTAAGCCTAAGCCTAAGCCTAAGCCTAAGCCTAAGCCTAAGCCTAAGCCTAAGCCTAAGCCTAAGCCTAAGCCTAAGCCTAAGCCTAAGCCTAAGCCTAAGCCTAAGCCTAAGCCTAAGCCTAAGCGCCTAAGCCTAAGCCCCTATGCCTAAGCCTAAGCCTAAGCCTAAGCCTAAGCCTGAGCCTAAGCCTAAGCTTAAGCCTAAGCCTAAGCTTAAGCCTAAGCCTGCGCCTAAGCCTAAGCCTAAGCCTAAGCCTAAGCCTAAGCCTAAGCCTAAGCCTAAGCCTAAGCCTAAGCCAGCGCCTAAGCCTAAGCCTAAGCCTAAGCCTAAGCCTAAGCCTAAGCCTAAGCCTAAGCCTAAGCCTAAGCCTAAGCCTAAGCCTAAGCCTAAGCCTAAGCCTAAGCCTAAGCCTAAGCCTAAGCCTAAGCCTAAGCCTAAGCCTAAGCCTAAGCCTAAGCCTAAGCCTAAGCCTAAGCCTAAGCCTAAGCCTAAGCCTAAGCCTAAGCCTAAGCCTAAGCCTAAGCCTAAGCCTAAGCCTAAGCGCCTAAGCCTAAGCCCCTATGCCTAAGCCTAAGCCTAAGCCTAAGCCTAAGCCTAAGCCTAAGCCTAAGCCTAAGCCTAAGCCTAAGCCTAAGCCTAAGCCTAAGCCTAAGCCTAAGCCTAAGCCTAAGCCTAAGCCTAAGCCTAAGCCTAAGCCTAAGCCTAAGCCTAAGCCTAAGCCTAAGCCTAAGCCTAAGCCTAAGCCTAAGCCTAAGCCTAAGCGCCTAAGCCTAAGCCCCTATGCCTAAGCCTAAGCCTAAGCCTAAGCCTAAGCCTAAGCCTAAGCCTAAGCCTAAGCCCTTAAGCTTAGGCCTAAGCCTAAGCCTAAGCCTAAGCCTAAGCCTAAGCCTAAGCCTAAGCCTAAGCCCTTAAGCTTAAGCCTAAGCCTAAGCCTAAGCCTAAGCCTAAGCCTAAGCCTAAGCCTAAGCCTAAGCCTAAGCCTAAGCCTAAGCCTAAGCCTAAGCCTAAGCCTAAGCCTAAGCCTAAGCCTAAGCCTAAGCCTAAGCCTAAGCCTAAGCCTAAGCCTAAGCCTAAGCCTAAGCCTAAGCCTAAGCCCTTAAGCTTAAGCCTAAGCCCTTAAGCGTAAGCCTAAGCCTAAGCCTAAGCCTAAGCCTAAGCCTAAGCCTAAGCCTAAGCCTAAGCCTAAGCCTAAGCCTAAGCCTAAGCCTAAGCCTAAGCCTAAGCCTAAGCCTAAGCGCCTAAGCCTAAACCCAAGCCTAAGCCTAAGCCTAAGCGCCTAAGCCTAAACCCAAGCCTAAGCCTAAGCCTAAGCCTAGGCGCCTAAGCCTAAGCCTAAGCCTAAGCCCTTAAGCTTAAGCCTAAGCCTAAGCCTAAGCCTAAGCCCTTAAGCTTAAGCCTAAGCCTAAGCCTAAGCCTAAGCCTAAGCCTGAGCCTGCGGGGTGTGCCCCTCTCTTCCCCTTGTGGGCCATGGTGGCAGAGTATGGCTTTGTGCCTGCATACATACATACATACATACATACATACATACATACATACATACATACATACATACATACATACATACATACATACATACATACATACATACATACATACATACATACATACATACATACATACATACATACATACATACATACATACATACATACATACATACATCCCTTATGACTTCATGCATGCGTTGCACGGTGTGGCTTCATTGCCACAAATACACATCATGCCTATCATTGACATGCTGCCGTTGTATCAGGGCTTTGTGCCCTGCCTATAACGCTTATGACACCGTGTGCTCTTCCTCAAATGATGTTGTGCTTTGCGTTGCACTCTCGGCCACTCCTATCTAATTTCTCTGTTTGCTCCCCACTCCTCCAACCCTTGTCCAAGCCTCTCTTTCTCGTCCCTCCAACCCTCTGGTTCTTGCCTCCAGCTCTGCTCGTCTGGTGGAGTATACAGTGCAGCAGACGCATCTCACTCAACCGCGCCCCACCCAGTCACACTCTGCTAATGCAACACTGAGGGGAGCACTGAGGGTTGCGGCGGTGGTGAGGGAGGTGGTGGAGAGGATGAGAGAGGAGAGGCGGACGGGAGTGCAGCAGGGACAGGGGCGGGCGGAGGAAGAGGGGGAGGGACAAGAGGCGCATGGGGAGGAGGGGCAAGGTGGGGTCGGGCAGGGTGGGGAGGCAGGGCAAAAGGATGGGACGAGTGGGGATGGCAGCAGGGGTGGGGAGTGGTGGGAGGGGATGGAGAGCGAGGAGGAGGAGTGGGAGAGTGCGAAGAAGCAGCTGGTGGTGTGGGCGGGGGGGCATGTGAGCCCTGAGATGCTGGCCATGGCTGCTGCTGTGTGGCACTGGATAAACACAGGGCGAGGTGAGTGGGTTTGGAGGGGTTGAGTGCGGTGCGGTGAGGTCTTAAAATAGCCATGGTAGCGGACTGGGCTGGCATGCGAGCCCTGAAATGCTGGCCGTGGCTGCTGCTGTGTGGCACTGGATAGACGCTGGGCGAGGTGAGAGTTACATTGGAGGGGTTGAGTGTGGTGGAGTGTGGTTAAGTGGTAGGAGAATGGGGGGAGAAGGCGCCTCCTCTGCCCCCATCCATGCCCTTGCCCCCTCCTCTACCCTCTCCTCTACCCCCTGCTATACGCACTCTTCTACACAGTTGGTTGCGTAGCAGCTATCCAGGGCAGCCATGCACCGGAGTGCGTCCATCTTGGACAACGGGAGACATCAGCGCCCTCCCCCCTACTGCTTTCCCACCCTCTCTCCCCATGCGCACTCTTCTCCAGAGTTGGATGTAGAGCAGCTAGCCACGGCAGCCATGCACCTGAGCGCACCCATCTTGGACAATGGGAGACCTTTTGCTGATGATGATTTTGCTGCCGATGATAGCGCTGGTCCTGGTGCTGCTGATGGTGATGGTGATGGTGATGGTGGTGCTGCTGCTGCTGGTGATGGTACTGATGGTGGTGATAATAACGGGGCTCTAACTCCTGATGCCTCTGCTGCTGCTGCTGCTGCTGCTGATGATGATGATGGTGATAGTGGTGCTGAAGATAAGGGGGATAATGTGGGAGCAGCAGCAGAGGAAGCAAAGGTAGATTCACATGGTACAGAAGATCAAGAATCCGGATCCAGCACAGAAGACGAACGCCATGACATGGCAGCACAGGCTGCTGACACGTGGCAACAGCTGGCCCAGTCCACGTCAGCAGACATCCTATCCTCCCTGTCAGCAGCAGCGTGCATGATACAGCAGCGGGTGAGAGCCCTCTTGGGCGCGGGGCTGACAGGCGAAGAGAAGAGGAGGGCAGCGAGAGAGAGAGAGGCATCGAAAGCAGAGTCGAGGGTGTCAGGAGGATGGGCATTCTCAACGGATTACTATGAGGATGAGGATAGGTTGAGAGAGCTGGTGGCGTGCCGAGGGGGGCGGTACAGGAGTGCGAGTGAGATCTTGGCAGGGGACAGCGGGGAAGCGAGTGGTGAGGAGGAGCGGGGATGCAGGGAGGGAGAAGTGGAAGAGGGAGAGCAAACAAGTGGCTCGGCGGGTGGGCCGGCGGGTGGTTCGGTGGGCAAGCTGGTGTGTTCACCTGGTGTGATGCGGTGGGTGCATGAGAGGGAGACAGTATTGCAGTTCCGCATGGTTAAGAAGTCAATTTTGAGTGAGGCTGATGTGGAGATGGGTGAGTGGTGTCGCAGCATGGGGCGTGCTGCCAGTTAACGACAGGGTGCGGTAGGATAGGGTGGGATATTGTAATGAGGAGTATGGTGGTGGGTGCATTGGAGGAGGGCAAGGCTGCAGATTTCACGTGGATTTGTTGTGAGACATATTGATTAGCTTGATATGGTGCGGCTGTTCTTGCACGCTGGAATGGGCGTGCTTTGTGTGATTTGAGAGTTGGGTGTGTTACAATCTGAAATGTGACTTAGCGAAGAGGATCGTTCAGGGTTGATCGCGGGTAGTGTCGCAGCGGAAGTAGTGAACTCAGGTCAGAGTGAATGTAAATGACTGAGATTGATTATAGCATGCATACATAGGGTTTATATAGAAATACAGAGGAATGCGAAACGACCTAGACTAGCCATGTACTCTAAGGGGTACATTCCCTTATTGCAGCGAAATTTAAACCGTGCGGCGCGGGAATCAGTTTCAAACCTGTTCCCGCTCTTTTCACTTCAAATGCTTCTGCCTGCATCGGTCTTAGTCAGACGGTTGCTGTGTCGCTTCGACTCTTCTGACTCCTCGACTTCGTACTCGGTAGAGTCGGCTCCTGCAGCATACAGGAATGCCTTCTCATAAAGCTTCATATCGTAACACTCCCCTTCATTCCTGGACGCGAGGGGTGCTGACTCGCTTGACCACTCCGGTGAGGTCGGAGCAGTGCTTGAACTGCTGACGTGGCAGACGCTTGGTGAGGAAGTCGGCTGCCATTTCAGTGGTTGGGCAGTAAGCGAGGTCAACTTTGCCCTGGTCGATTTCGTCCTTGACGAAGAAGTACCGCAGTGCAATGTGCTTCGTGCGGTTCACGAACCCGGGCTTGTTCGCGATCTTGATCGCGCTCTGGTTGTCGCAGTGCAGGCGAAAGGTAGGCGAGGTTGGAATTTTCGCCTCCTGTAACAGCTCCTGCAGGTACAGACCTTCGCGAACTGCTGCTGTCGCGGCGATGTATTCAGCTTCGGCCGATGACAGGGCAACCAGTTCCTGCTTCTGCGAGTTCCAGGAGATGGGGCCAGTTGGCTCCAGGCGAAAAACGAAGCCGGTTCGGGACCGTCGATTTGCTGGGTCAGCGGCATGGTCAGCGTCCACGTAGCCGTTGAGGTTGAAGGATGTTGTTGACAGCGTGGAATAAGAGAGTCCAATGTCAGGCGTGGAGATGAAGTACTGCAGGGCGCGCTCCAGGTCCAACTGGTTCTCGGCTACTGGTTTGCGGGAGTACTGTGCCAGTTGGCTGGCGATGTACGAAAGGTCGGGTCGGCATGTGACAGATGCGAACAGCAGGCAGCCCAGCTGCTGCTGGTACAGTTGGAGCCCCGCGGGGGACAAAGGTTTGTTGTCTGGTTTGTAGTTGGTGCTGGGGCTGCGGTATGGAGTTGAGAGTGGTGCGCGTGAGATGTTGAACCGTTCTCCCAGCTGCTCTGCGTATTTTGAAGCTGACAGATGAATTGCTTCTGGCGCGTAGGTGATGTTCAGGCCCAGAAACTGGGTGACGTTGTGGTTGGTGGTAATGTCCACGCGCTTCGCCAAGTTTTCTTCGAACTGGGTAAGAAGCGTGTTGCAGGTGCCAGTGTAGAGCAGGTCGTCGACGTAGACGGTGAGGAGGATGTAATCGCCGTTGAAGTGGAGGCGGTACATTCCCGGGTCGTGCGGCAGCTGCCTGAAGCCGATTTCCAGTAGAATTTTGTGCAGGTGCTGCTGCCAGAGACGAGGCGCCTGCTTAATCCCATAGAGGGATTTCTTCAACTGGCAGACCCTGGGATCTCCTTCTCCGTAGGTGTGTGGTTGCTCCACGAAAATGGTTGCATCCACCAACGCATATAGGAATGCGTTCTTCACGTCGATCTGTCGCAGTGGTAGATGCTTAGCAGCCGCTATGGCGAGTAGGATTCTGACGGAGGTGTGACGGCTGACAGGAGCGAAAGTTTGGTCGAAGTCGATGCCGTGGCGTTGGTCGTAGCCTCGGACCACCCATCGTGCCTTGAAGCGCTCAATGGTTCCGTCAGCGTTAGTCTTGAGCCGAAAAACCCACTTCCCGCTGAGCACCCTCCTCCCCTTCACTGCTGCACGATCGACGAGAACCCAGGTGTCACGGGACTCCAGCGCTTTTAGTTCGGCATCCATAGCTGCACGCCATTCGTTAGCGTGTGGGCTGGTGAGGGCTTGGCGCGGGTTCTTTGGTTCAACAGCGCGAGCTATGGCGGAGACGGAGGTGTGGAGCCCGAGAAGCTGCAGGCCGGAGACGTTCGCGGTTTCCGCAGTGTCAGTGATGGGGACCTCCACCACGTCATCATCGTCGCTGTCGTGTCCAGGTGAGGAAGTGCTGGGGGCGGTTTCGCGGCGGGTTGGTCCAGGGGTAGGTGCGTCATTGCTGTCGTCGTCGTCGTCGTCGTTCGAGGGAGGGCGAGGCGGAATGCCAGGATGATCGTCGGTGTCGTCGCGATCGAAGGCTGCTGCTGCTGCTTCATCCTCGGGAGATGCAAAGCTGCGGCCGCTGTTGGCATAGCCGCGAGCTTGGTTACGTTGCTCGTCCTCGATCCACTGCTTCAAGGTGAGTCTTTCGTAGAAGAGGATGTCACGCGCGGGAACAATCTCCTTGCTGTCGACGTCGAGAATGAGCCACCCCTTGTGCTCGTTGCTGAGTCCCAGATGAACTCCCCAGCATGCACGCTGAGCAAACTTGCCAATGTTTGCTGAAGTTGGCCGATACTGCACCATGCACCCCCAAACCCTCAACATGGAGGGATCTCCCCTTGAGCCGGTCCACTTCATGTGCGGGGAAAGGTTGTCCCTGTTGGCCGTGGTGGAGAGGAGGTTGTAAAGGCGCACCGCGTGGTTCATGGCATAGGGCCAAAACTTCTTGGGGAGGCCGGACTGATTCATGAGAGCGCGCACTTTTGTCATGAGGGTGCGATTTACCCTCTCTGCGACTCCTTGCTGCTGATGAGCGTAGGGGAGTGAAATCTCGTGTTTGATCCCCTTTTCACTGAGAACGCTTTCCAGCTCGTGGCTGCGGAACTCCTTGGCGCCATCACTCTGCCAGATTTTCAGCTTCCTCCCTGACTGTCGCTGTGCGTGTGCGAGCCAGATCCGGAAGACTTCTGGAGCCTTGGACCGTGCGTCGACGTTGGCAATCCAGACGTAGCGTGAGTAGGCGTCGATGAAGGTCAGTGTGTATTTTTCGTCGTTGAGTCCGTCACAGAATGGTGAGTACAATGAAGTCGCTGTACACCTTCTGTAATTTCTTGTAGCGGTTGGTGCTTGGCTCCAGTGAAGGATATGCGCTGTGAGTGAGGGCTGCAGTGGGGCAGACGGTGCAGGTGAGTGGGTGTGGGGTGTTGTGTGGTTCGGTGCCGTCGGGGCGCAGAAGTGCTCCTGGGGGGAAGACCTTCGCGCGGAGGCAGTTGGCGAGAGTCTGGCGCGAGGGATGCCCGAGTCGCTGGTGCCAGAGGTCGTCTTCGGCGCGAATGCCGCTGCTGCGCATGTAGCGTGCGCGATGCTCTGCTGCTTCCTCCTCTGTTTCTTGTGGGATCTGGAGCGGTGGTTCCTCCTCTTCTCCTGGTTCTGTTTCGTCTTCCGCTCCTTCTGTTTCTTCTGCAGTTGTTTCCCCTTCTGCAGGTGCGGTCGAAAGATAGAGGGCGAGAAATTCGCGGTCGGGGATGACGGTGAGCGGAGTTGTTGT